GTGACCTAATTGTTCGTGTGTCGACATTATTAGTTCCCTTTCGAGTTCTGTGGGCACAAGAAGCAACAATCGGTTTCCTTGTTTTTTGAAGACTACGCCATTTTGCATCACATATTTTGTCATTTCTTCATTCTCTAGTCTGTTTTTTAGTTCAAGTATGTCTTTGTTTCTATTCTGCATAATTTGGAGCTGGAAGTCCAGGTCCTCGCTATCGATTACGCCTATCATCTCGTGGCTATCGTCTTCAACTCTACTTAATGCATCTACATGCGTCATGTTTTTACCTGCCCGGTGGGAAATTGTGTAATTATAGTTTTCGAGTTCTAGCGCCCACCTTGCTATTCTGCTGTTCACTGACTTTTTACTAAGAGTTTGCGCTAACGAATTGCAATCAGTTACTATTTTGAATTTTAAACCTTCTATGTAGACTCTAAACCGCCGTAATGCATAAATAATTGCTAATGCTTCAAGTTCAAAACTGTGATATTTACTTTCGGCATCTGAAGTTCTTTTGGAGAAGTAGGCCACTGGATGGAAATTATTATCTGCCTGTTTTTGAAGTAATATTGCACCGAAACCATAAGAACTCGCGTCACAGTGCAGCTCAGTGTCTCTTTTGTGGTTGTAAATTGCTAGTACTGGTCCTGATACTAATATCTTCTTAACTTAGCGTCTTTTTTCAAAAGTTCGTACAGGGGTCGAGCTATAAGTGAAAAGGATTGGAATTTTCGGAAGTACGAACACAATCCAACGAATGATTGCAACTCGCGTTGGTTTCTAGGCATTGGAAAATTCGTAATGGCATTAATGTGGCTTTCGGAAGGTCGTATTCCGCGATCTGTTACTTTATACCCTAGATATTCTACCTCATCATATGCAAATTTACACTTATTTAGTTTTATCCGAAGGCCATGTTCAGTTAAATGTCGTAAAACCCGTTGAACTAATTCGTAGTGTTCATCTGATGTTTTGTTCGCAATAATTATATCGTCCATGTAAACGATAATCTCGTTGTTATCAATAAATTTTCTTAAGACTGTTGTTATGAATCTTTGAAATATGGCCGGCACGTTTTTTAACCCAAAGGGCATTCTTAAAAATTCATACTGGCCATTCGGAATGACGAAGGATGTGTATTTGATAGACTCATCAGCCATCTTAACATGATAAAAGCCTGACTCAAGATCTATAACTGAAAACATTTTATTACGCCCTAAATATTCTAGAAAATCTTCGATAAGTGGGAGCGGATAATTGTCTCTTGCAATCAATTTGTTCAAATTCCTATAGTCAACGCACATGCGAGTAGCCCCCGACTTCTTTTTTGTCAGAACTATTGGTGATGCGTAGGGCGAGTCACTATGCCTTATTATGTTCTTCTTAAGCAAATCTTCGATAATGTTATTAACCTCATTTTTCTCTCCGAATGACAGTCGTCTTGCTTTACAAAATGTTGGCGTATTGGATGATAGTACGATTCTTGCCTCATATTTAGTATCTGGGATTTCTTCAGTTTGCCTCTCTAAATAGGTAATTTCAATCATTTTCCTAAACTTTTCTGCCAGAACTGAAGGTAACTTAGGGTTCACGTCGATTAATTCCACTTTATCTACATAATTATCAATATAGCAAATTTCTTTAAAAGCCAGTTGGGTTTCTGAAGTTTTTGTATTGAAATCCACACTGCTTTGATTTTGAATGCTCTTCAAATCTTTCTTTTCTTTAGCTATTTCA